ACCCCCTGTCACACACAGAGCAGGGCGATCAGGGGGTGTGGGATGCCACACCCTGTCACACACAGAGCCGCAGGCCGATCAGGGGGTTTGGGCGCTGCACCCTGTCATGCTGATCTGGTGCCAGGAGGCCTCGTGGCTCCGCTGATCCCGGTGCTGGGAGGCATATTACCCTTTTACTATATAGGATAGAGGCCTGGGGGCCGGCTGGTTTGCCCTGAAGGGTGTCCTGGATCAGGGTGGGGGTCCCCACTGGGGTGCCTGGCCAGCCTGGATGAGGGGATGATGGCTGTTTGCAGCTGGTCACACACCCTTCAGGGTGGGAGTCCCCACTGGGGTGCCTGGCCAGTCTGGGTGAGGGGCTGAGGGCTGCTTTCAGGCTGGCAGTTGTTGATTGAAGCTCCCAACCGCTCCTTTTTTTCTTTTTCTTTTTTTATATTCTGGGCCAGCTTTAGCTCTGGCTCTAGGTCTGAGGCTTCCGCTGGTTTGTTTGCCGTTCTATAATCGAAACAATGTATAACTTCAGCTCTGAGATCCCAGCCGGCTATATTTGTTAGAATGTTTCAAACTGCCAGCTCAGAGGCCGGCAAGTCAGGCGGGGAACGTTGGAGTCTGCAGTCCCTGGAGCAAGCAAGCCTCAGGTTCGCTTCCAGCTGCCTGGCTGCCGGCTGCCATCTTGGCTGACAGTTAATTTGCATAAGGATACGCTGATTAGCCAATGGGAAGGGTAGCGGTCGTACGCCAATTACCATTTTTCTCTTTTATTAGTGTAGATATAATGGCTAGCAATTAATTGGCACTTAAATGCTTAATGAATTAGAACCAACATCGGTAAGAGGAAACTGAAGAGATTATAAAACAAAACCTGACTGCTTTAAATGACTGAAGCTGCTCTGACAAATTACATCAACTACCATATTAATCATGGTGCTGAGAGAGACAGCAGACTTGCCTTTAAGGAACCACGAAGAGGAAGGCAATGACTTATTGAGTACTTACTACACGCGGGGTATTGTGCTAAGTGTTTTACATGGGTAATTTCAGATGTGCTAGAACAGCGGTTCTCAACCTGTGGGTCGCAACCCCTTTGGCGGTTGAACGACTCTTTCACAGGGGTCGCCTAAGACCATCCTGCATATCAGATATTTTACATTACGATTCATAACAGTAGCAACATTACAGTAATGAAGTAGCAACGAAAATAATTTTATGGTTGGGTCACAACATGAGGAACTGTATTTAAAGGGCCAGAAGGTTGAGAACCACTGTGCTAGAAGTTTGGAGCTGGCAAATGTGGCTTCTATCCATAGATAATAGAGTGTTTACTTGGGCTAATCCACCTGCTAGCCCTGAAAATAGACTTTTCCCCTACTTGGTGGCAGTCTTTCATATTATACTCCCTACATTGTGTGTGTGTGTTTACGATTACAGTGTAACAAAAAACAGGCATAGCTTTTTTTTTTTTCTTTTTACTTTTCTTTTTAGGAAAGGAGAGGGAGAGGGATAGAAACATCAATGATGAGAGAGAATCATTGATCGGCTGCCTCCTGCATGCCCCCTACTGGGGTTTGAGCCTACAGCCTGAGCATGTACCCTGACTGGGAATTGAACCGTAACCTCCTGGTTCATGGGTCGACACTCAACCACTGAGTGACACCAGCCGGGAAACAGGTATAGCTTTTTGAAAATGTAATGGACTGCTTAGGAAGAAGTTTCCTCACTGCCAGGAATGTTCAAACACAGGCTGGGCTGACTTCTGGGTGGGATCTAAGTTTCTTTTTCCTGCCAAGGAGGAGAGAATGTAGTGATGGTTCAAAGACAGGATCAGCAAGCTGGTGTATTCTAGGAGGCAGGAATAGAGGGTTTCAGTACAAGAATCCGTAGTTTATCCCACTGCGAAGAATGCATCCAGGCAGCTCCTTTATTTCTCCTTCCAACCCCTCAGGTCTTTGAGGAAGACACTTCTTCAGGGTCACTGCCTCTTCGTGTTGCTCTCTATGTACGACTCCAGCAAGAAGATAGTTTCATCCACCTGGATCTCGCTGGCGTCCAGCCTGAGTGAAAAGTGAGAGCATTTGCCCAGACTGAACACTTACTAGCATAGTGAGAGGCTGGGCGCTGTGTGGCCATGCAGAATTGCTTGGTTACCCTTGAGATTAATGGGTAGAAAGCAGGAAACCAATAGATCATTCTCCCATTTACTGAGCACCTCTTAAATGCCAGGCACTGTGGAACTTGCTGAGGATTCAAAAGATACAGCCTCTCCTGGGAGAAGTTAAAGTCTACCTTGCAACAGGAGAAAGAATAGCACATGTAAAGGCATAGAAGGTTCCAGTGTGTTTTAAAATAGAAGCTGAAAGTGGCTGCGGCTAAACTGAGTAGTGATTAGGCATGGAAGGGAACTTCCTCAACATGATTGAAGCCATCTATGAAAACCCCACGGCTAACATCATCCTTAATGGTGCAAGACTGAAAGCTTTCTCCTTAAGATCGGGAACAGGCCGAAACCGGTTTGGCTCAGTTGATAGAGCGTCGGCCTGCGGACTGAAAGGTCCCGGGTTCGATTCCGGTCAAGGGCATGTACCGGGGTTGCGGGCACATCCCCAGTAGGAGATGTGCAGGAGGCAGCTAATCGATGTTTCTCTCTCATCGATGTTTCTGACTCTCTATCTCTCTCCCTTCCTCTCTGTAAAAAATCAATAAAATATTAAAAAAAAAAAAAAAGATCGGGAACAAGACAAGGATGTCTGCTTTTCACTTCCATTCAACCTTTTACTGGAGGTTCTAGCCAGGCAATTAGGTAAGAAAAAGAAATACAAGGCATTCAGATTGGCATGATCCTAAACATAGAAAAATCTCAAAGGATCTGCAAAAAAACTAAAGAGTCAACAAACAAAACTTTAAAAATTGCAAGATATAAAATCAAAACACAAAAGTTAGTTTTAGCACTGGCTGGTGTAGCTCAGTTGGTTGAAGCATCATCTCATATACCAGAGGGTGGCAGGTTTGAGTCCTGGTCAGGGTGCATGTGGGAGGCAACCAGTTGATAGGTCTCTCTCATCTTGGGGACCAAGACGGAAGGCCAGATTTGAAACACATGAACTGAAGTAAAATCAACAACTTTGGTGAACAAGGTGTGTGGTGAGGGAGGAGAAGCTGAGGATGTCTTCAGAGTTCAGTTTGGGGAAACAGGTGGATTAAATTCTGTTAGGTGAGTTCAGGGTTTGTGTCAACGTGGAGAGGTGGGTGAGCCTGGAAGGTATTTGAAATGGAGGCTTGACGTGTAGGATGCTTACTTGTTGACGTTCCGTTTGAGAGTCTCTATCTGCTGGCGTTCAGGGGCTGTGATCATCTCCTCTATTTCCTGTAGCTGGGCCTCCTCCGCACCTGTAGCCTGCATGGAGGCGATGATGGCTTCCACCCTCTGAGACTTTTCTAGGAGCCGCCTGTCAAACAAACACAATTCCAAACTGGTCCCCTAGATGTGGAGATTTTTACCCATTAGCCCTGGGGTATAATATGCCCTTTACCAGGTTCCTGGTCAAAATGGATAATGTCACCTTTTAAGGATGTTTTCTACAAACTTAGAAATGTGACCTCACTCCCGGAACTCTTATTGCCTCTCATTTGCACTTTACGTTTAGTGCCAGTTTGTACATTTCTCATGAATATAATCTACAAAATTATTTCACTGGGAGTATATTAGAAGAGTATAGACTAATGCATGATTTATGCCAACCTAACCCAACAATTCAATGCAACCAGACTGGTTATTGTCTCTATTGGTTTCCATTTCTATAGGAAATTTCCCCTCAAGCCTTTGACCTTGAAAAAATGCAATTACTAAACTATATTGCTACTCACTTGTTCTCCTTGGTTTCAAACTGCCTCCTTTCTATCAAGTTGGCTACGCTCTGAGGAGAGAGAAGACAAAAAACGCACACGGTTCTATTTCAGTAGCTCAGGTAAAAAGGCTAAAGGGGGCGTGAGGTAAGACTGGTCTCTGTGGAGGGAATGGAAGAAGGTCCAGGAGTTACCTTGTAGCACCTGTGCAGCAGCATGCGGGCAGCTGACAGGATGTTCACAGTGTACAAATAGAAGGTCCTGGAAGGGGCGTGGTCTGGCGTTTTGGGAATTTCCTACTTGTCCACAGAAGGAAAAATGAGAGGAATTATACAGTTCAGAGCTGCAAAGTAAACACGTGTCCCGTCTGAAGCCACTCTCCCTTCTCTCTTTCACTTACACTTTCCCCTTCCCCAGTCATTCACATCTGTCGTTACGGCATGCTCAGCCTCAGGAGAATTGAGCTGCCCTGTTTTTTCCATTTGAACATCCTGAGTGGAGCAGAGAAGGCAACTAACATCTGTTGAGCAACTCTTGTGTGCCAGGTAGACTGTGTTTGATCTTTACTATCAACCGCACTATTTTCTTACCATCCACCACCATTTTATAGATGGGAAAAATTATGGTGGGTAATTTGCTTAACGTAACTAGGTAAGAGGAAGAGCTGTGATTCAGATTCCAAAATCCATTCTATTTCCTTACAGGGTCTACTGCATGGCTTTGCACATAGTGGAACTCACTAGGTGTTGATAAATGTATTCTATAATAAATGTAAAGTTCAAGGAAAGGACAAATCACAGGGACGAGGCACTAAAGAAAAAGGGCGGAGTGACTTCTTGGCTGTGCCTTTTTTTTTTTTTTACTAGGCCAGTTAAAGCACAAATATCTTCCCAATGCTGGTTATGCCTTCATTAATCTTTTCTTTCTTCCTGTCTTAGAGCTGGATAAGAGTTTGCTTGGGGCTCAGGATGCAGGCCTCAGGAGTTTCTCTCACGCTCGGCCAGCTCTGTTGTTGATGACTATTACCCTTTGGTTACCTGAAGCAACATGAAATTTTCTGAGAGCATCTTATAAAGCATATCCTTCGCCTCCTTTGCTGGAATCATTGCAAAGTCTTCTACCTGCTTCTGCTCCAGGTGCTTCTTTTGCAAAACTAGACGAAATATTCTGGCACAGCGAGACCCAAATCTGGAAAGGAATGAAGACAGTAAATAGCAGGCTTATCTCCTAGTCACACACGGTGGTGGCTGTTTCCATGTGTGGAGCCAGGACCAGTGGGGGACAGCAATCAGCGAACTCTTTCACAGCTCCAGACGGACTGCGGACGGTGCTGCTAATCACAAGGCAGTCACTGACTGCGGACACACCGAGGGCCTCACTTCCCGCCTGGTAAGTAAAAGCTCTAGGGAGGCTGGTCCAATGGCACTGGGAATTCAGCAGGAGGATGTTTAGGATGAACAGCAGTAGTAGATGGGATCCACAGCAGTCCAGTGGAAAAATGGGGCAGGTAGCCCTAGCTGATTTGGCTCATTGGATAGAGCGTCGGCCTGCAGACTGAAGGGTCCCAGGTTCGATTCCAGCCAAAGGCATGTGTCTGGGTTGCAGGCTCGATTCCCAGTGGGGGGTGTGAGGGAGGTGGCCAATCGGTGATTCTCTCTCATCACTGATGTTTCTAACTCTATCCCTCTCCCCTCCTCTCTGAAATCAATAAAAAAATAAAAAAAAAAATGGGGCTGGTATGCCTATGTTGGTTGCTTACATAATGATCAAATTACTTGTTTAAATCAGGCATAGAAAGGAAGTGTCTGACCCCCCACCCTGATCATGGTGACCCCCTTACCTCTCCTGTACAACCGACTCCAGAGTGGCTGTGGCTAGGGATCCGAGAACCTTATGTAGGTCTTTATGTAGGATTAAGGTCACTCAATCATGCTTTGGCCTGGTCATTGTGATATTAGTTTAATTCCTAAGTCTCTAATTTAAAATTTAAATGTTATTTGCTTTTTACATTGATCACATTTAGGATAAATAAGTATTTTAAAACTTTAAGTTTGGTGCTTAAGTCAGGACTTAGCTTAACTAAAATTTGGTTAAGTAAAAGTCCTTTTTGCCCTGGATGGTGTTGCTCAGTGGTTAGAGTGTCAGCCCACACACCAAAGGGTCGCAGGTTCAATTCTGACAAGGGCATGTATCTGGGTTGCAGGTTTATCCCTGGCCCCAGTTGGGGCGTATGTGGGAGTCAACCAATCGATGTGTCTTTCTCATATCAATGTGTCTCTCTCTCTTTCTCTCTCTCCGCCTCTCTCCCTTCTACTCTCTCTAAAAACAATCAATAGGGAAAATATCCTTGGGTGATGATTAACAAAAACAAACAAAAAGTCCTTTTTACTTCTTTATCATCAATGTATTAGTTAAATTTTCTCTTATTTAGTATACTAAATTTTATCGCATCTTTTGTCATAAGTCGCCACTGTCATAGTCCGGCTGCCGGACTGTACAGAAATAACTGGTAAGGATACTGATGACATACATTCCTCCACCACTGTCGCCAGACTTTCCAACAAACTCTAGCTATTAAAAAAAAAGAGAGAGACTGTGTTAACTGACTGGACAATCCAGTGATTCTGTTTCCAAAGGAGCAAATCTAGCCAAGAGTCTATAGAAGGCAAGCCTCTTATTAGATGATGGTAGAGAAATTGTCTGAGTTGGTTAGAGAATGAGGCTATAGGAGAATGATACCAGGTATCACTGGCAGAAATAAATCATAAACATAGCAGAAAAAAGAAACATTAAAAAATCAGACTTACTGGATCATCTGCCAGCAGAGTGAGATACTGGTCAAGAACTTGCTTAGAGATGTTGTAGCCAGTAGGTAGGGATCTGAAGATCTATGGTGCAAAAGGAGACAGTGAAAATAGGTTTGGGAACTTAGAATTGCTGACATTACTAAAGTAAATATGTTTTAATTTTAGATATCACAGTATAAAAATATCCAAAAATATAGCAGCAATGTTTATAAGAGTAAAAATCTAGAAATAATCCCAATGTCCAATAATAAGGGATTGATTAAAATAAAGTACAGCATAGCCATTAAGTGAAATATGACACAGCCATTACAAAAAATAAAACAGATCTATAACTGACATGAAAAGGTTTATATTATATTGGCATATGAAAAATGCAAATTTATAACATATACACATACCTATATATATGTCGGATGATACATAAAAATAATTTGAATAAAGATACATACCAAACTATTAACAAGGATGCTTGGGATTGGGATTATGCAAAACTATGATAGTTTGGGGAACTACAACTTTTTAAAAATTATACATTTCTATTTTGTTTGAATATAGGTCATGTAATTACTTTGTCATTAGAAAAAAACATTTAATATTTTAAAAGAATATTTTTATTGATTCCAGATAGGAAGGGAGAGGAGAGATAGAAACATCAATGATGAGAGAGAATCATCCATCAGCTGCCTCCTGCACACTCCTACTAGGGATCGAGCCCAAACCTGGGAATGTGCACTGACTGGGAATCAAACCGTGACCTCCTGGTTCATGGTTTGATGCTCAACCACTGAGCTACAATAGCTGGACATGTATTTAATTTTTTGTTATATAAGTTAAAAAATTTAAATATAAATAAAAGTTTAGTAAGTATTTTTTTGTGTGAATAAATATAAGTTAATTAGGAAAGTAATAGAATATAAATAAACACATTGGATATGTTAAATATTAAAATTTTAAGAAACAGATACAAATAAGTTTAAAAGATACAAAGTATATTGAAAAAAACAAATAAGGGGCTATATAATGTCCTGCTCACCAAGGCTCTCAGATTGCAATAGTGCATTCTTAGAATAGGAATAGCTTGCACTTTGACTAAGAGAATGGTTTAGATTTTTAAAGGCTGGATCCAAAGAGACCGAATATTTTAATACCTATCACCTGAAGATAATTCCTGTCCCACCTCAAACAACAAAGACTCTTTCAAGGCTCAAACCTCATCAACCTAATTCCAGGCTGTATGTATAATAATCTATAATAATCAAAGCATAATATGCTAATTAGACCAGACGTCCTTCTGACGGCAGTCGGGGGAAGGAAGGCCTACTCTTGCACGATTTTCGTGCATCGGGCCTCTAGTTATGTTATAGTATCCAAGAGCCTGTCAGAAAAGTAGTATAACATGAAACTCACCTCATTGGAAGACAATGGCTGGGTGAAGGGGGCACCAGAGGGAGTGGTAATCTCACTCATTCGAAGCATGGTTCTTACGATCTCGCTGCTGGTCTGGAATTGAAAAGTGAGCTGAAATTCAGAATTCATTCTGCTGTGCTGGCTCTGGCTAAATGTCAATGGCCACATCTGGCAAATAAGATTGTCCCTGATGGCCACTGTCCCATCCCCTCAGATATCACCTGGTCCATCCTATTGGCCACTGCGCTGACAATGGCTTGGTCTCGGAAGTGCTGGTGGAATCTGTCAAGGTTGGCCTGCCAATAAATGCCATCATCTGGAATGGGCTGAGGAGGAGAAAAGGATTAGCAAGAAGCATCTACATGCAGTGAAGAGTTTTCTGGTGAGGAGCTTAAATGGAACTGGCCACCACTTCTTTTCCTTTACAATAGCAACAAATTGGTTGCTGAGAAATCATCCAGTCATGTGGACCAGTGCCTTAATAAATTCAGTCTCACTTCAAACAGATTCTCAACCAACCTCCAATCTTTTTCTCTCTTCTACATTTTAACTCCTCTCCAGTCTCCTCAAATCTCACTTACCCCACCCTTATCACTCTCAGCAGATGACCTTGCTTCTTATTTTGAGAAAACAAAAGCCATTAGGCCAGAACTCATCCAACTTTGTGCACACACCCCCACATTTATTTTTTTTTAAATTCCACTTATATCACAGTGGAAAACATGTTCCCCCTTTTACCCAAGCTCAATGCCCACACTGAATGTGAGATCTTACCCTCCCTGCATTCTCAGGGACCCAGCTCAGTTTTCCCTCCTCTCTAAATCTTCAGCCTCTTTCTTTACTGTCTTTTCCCCATCAACCTTTACCTTGACCAAATCTCGTCTACTCTAAAGTAACTCTTCTTCAACACTATGACTTTTCTCCTTTTTATTTTTGTTAGTCAAGGTTCTCAAAGATTTGACCATCCCAGCTGTATCTCTGTCCACAGAGGTACTCAACCCATCTCCACCACTGCACTGAAATGCCAAGGCCCCTGAGGACCTCCTTGTTGCTAAATTCAAAGAATACTTTCCAATTCTGATCTTCTTTGTTCTTTCTGAAGCATATGACAAGGTGGGACTTTTTTCCTTCTTAATTTTATGCGACCCCCTTGGATTTCATGACACTATTCTTTTTAAAAATAATTTATTTTTATTGATTTCAGAGAGAAAGGGAGAGGGAGAGAGAGAGAGACAGAAACATCAATGATGAGAGAGAATCATCGATTGCTGCCTCTTCCATGCCCCCCCACTGGGGATCGAGCCCACACCCTGGGCACGTGCCCTGACCTATTAAAAAAAGGTAACTACATGAAGATCTGTGGGAAAAGCATTTGAAGCAGAAGGAATACTAAAGGCAAAAGCCTGAAGATCGAAAGAGTTTGACATTTTGAGGAATGGAAAGAAAGAAGCTGGAACACAGTGAACACGAGGAAGAGTGGAAAGAGCTGAGGGTGTACAGCCCGGTCTCTAGCAGGTCTTGTAACCACCCTGCTCATATAAGGCTTAATAACCCATAGCCAAGACTTGGATTTCTTCTAAGAGTAACGGGAAGCTATTAAAGGAGTCTAAATCAGTGTTATGTTGGGATTAAAAAAAACTTGGCAAGTTAAATAGGTAAGGATGCAGGTAGAGTGACCATTTAGGAGAGTGCTGGCAAAGCGTTGACTCGAGATGTAATGGTTTGGACTAGGATGACAGCACTGGAAATGGTGAGAAACAGCTGGAGTTTAGGTAATTTTGGAAATTGGGCTGACATTTTTTACTGGGAGATCAGACGGTTCCTAGGATTTTGGCCTAAGCAAGTGGTGGTGACCTAGAGGTGGCTGGCCAGGTCCTTTACTAAGATGAGGAAAACTGAGAGAACAGATATTTGGGTGGGAGAAAACAATTATTGCATTTTGGCCATACTAAATTTGAGATACTCATTAGACATCTTTATAGAGATGCCGAGAAGGCATTTGAAGATAAAAGCTCAGGCTTACAAATATCTTTCTAGACTCATTTCTCACCACTGGTTCCCATGGGTCGCTGTGTTCCAGCAATACTGAATAACCACCTTTCTCTAGGTCCTTTTTTTGCATAAGCTGTTACCTCTGTCCAATGCATGAAGTAAGTTAAAGCCTCAGAAGGGAGTTCACTCTTCGTTATTCTCTTGCTGACCAATATTTAATGCAGCTCTAATCCTACTACTTAACCCAGGAACCTTTGAAGTCTCTTGGGGCTCATCTTAGTGCTCTCTCTGACCTGCCTCGGGGTGAGGACTCCTAGTCACAAAGCCCCATTACCTCTTTATTATCTGTGCTATGTTTTAGTCTCTTGGCCTTGGGCTCCCCAGTGGCATCATCCTCAGACGATCTCCTCCTTTTACCTTTCCCTGCCAAGTAAAAACAGTTAGAACAGTTAGGCTACATCTCATGACAGGACATGAGCAAACCTGAGAGCAGGTGTCTCCCTATCCCAAGGACGTCTGTAGCTGCCGCTAGTTTAGAGTTGCTCAGAAGATGGAGCAGCTACAAGAAACAGGTAAATGATGAAGTTATCGGAAATTCAACGTTAACACAGAAATTCATAATCTTAATCCCTCAAACTGCACCTGCTCTAATGTTTCCTTTCACAGTGAATGGCACCATCATCCTCCCATGTATGCGCATCAGACACACAGACGTCATTTTTTTGTTTAAAAAAATATATTTTATTGATTTTTTACAGAGAGGAAGGGAGAGGAATAGAGAGTCAGAAACATCGGATCAGCTGCCTCCTGCACACTCCCCACTGGGTATGTGCCCGCAACCAAGGTACATGCCCATGACTGGAATCGAACCTGGGACCCTTGAGTCTGCAGGCTGACGCTCTATCCACTGAGCCAAACCGGTTAGGGCTAGATGTCATTCTTGATACTTGTCTACTTCACCACTTCTATATATTTTTCACTGGTTTGTCTACATTTATTTATTTATTTTTAATGTATTTATTTATTGATTGACTTCAGAGAGGAAGGGAGAGGGAGAGAGATAGAAACATCAATGATGAGAGAGAATCATTGATTGGCTGCCTCCTGCATGCTCCACACTGGGGATCGAGCCTGCAACCCAGGCATATATGCGTTGACTTGGAATCTAACTGTGACCTCCTGGCTCATAGGTTGACGCTCAACCACTGAGCTACATCCACCGGGCTGTCTGCACTTACTTTTGCCCCATCCTTTCTGTGCACAGAAAAATCTTTTAAAATGCAAATTAGGTTATGTCACTTTGCGGCTTAAAATCCTTCAGTGGTTTTCCTTTGTTCTTTATCTTAAGGGTCTTGCGTGATCTAGCCCTTGCCTATCTCCCTAACCTTATTCTCATGGCTCTCTTTCCTTTGCACACCGTGCTTTAACTAACTGACCTTCGTTCACTTTCTCAAATACCCTATTTTTTTCTCTCACTACGTACCTTTGCCAAAAATGCTTATCCTCTGTACCCCTTCATACCTTACCTCACCGGTTGGCTACTACTTCTGCTCCAAATCTTAGCTCAAATGCCACTTTCTCAAAGAAGCAAGGGCTCCAAACTCCCAGGTAACTCCAGTCTCGTTATATATTTTCAAAATACCTTACACTTTTCCTTCACAGTACTTACCACAGTTTGTTATTTAATTAATGTAAGTCTCTTGTACTAGCCTTAAGCCCCCCAAAAGTTCAGAGACCATAATGCTTTTTTATATTTTATACCACAATATCTGGCACAGAGTAAATACTTGCTAACTGCTCAATTCATTCATTCATTCACTTAACAATCACTGAGGAGGAATCCACAATTAGGGCAAATCACAGTTCCAGTGGTCAAAATTCCTTACCTATCAAGCTCAGTTTAGGAACCAGGTACATGTCATTTTCATTGATGACAAGAGTGGGGGCAGGCTGCGGTGGCCCAGGCTCTGAATTCTCAGTGGGAGACACCAACGGGCAACGCTGCACAAAGTGCGTGTCTGCTAGTCGCACAAATGTGCTCGACACCTCAGCATAGTCCATGGTCTTGCCATCTGTGCCAGAGGAGAAGAGAGGCAGGTGAGACGGCTGAGATAGCTGAGGGTCTGCTCCTGCAGGCAGCCAATCTGTGCTTTTGCTAACAGCTGTTGCTACAGTACTGACCTTCCATGGTTTCTGTCAGCCGGTCTGCCACTCTCTTCACGAGAGCGGACATTGTCATCTTGCCGTTCAACAGCAGCTCCTCCACAATCAGCTCGCCGGTGTCACTGTACAGGGTCTTGGCGGTGTAGATGTAACGGGGGTACCTGAGCATGCGCAGCACCCGGCTGCACTGGGCCTCATACTCCACCGTGCCACGTCTGTGCACTTGGTATGTCACCAGGTTATGCTGGATGAGGACACACAGGGCCTTCTTCACCTGGATAAGACCCAAAAGAAAGAGGAAAGATCCGAAGACACAGCTCTTTATTGCTCGCAACTTTTGCCCAACAGTTTACTAAGCATCAGGAGATGGCTGGGTAAGAATCTCTGTGCTGCCTTCCTCCTCCCACCTGAACAGCTAATAAGAGTCACACATAACTTGGTATGTCACCAGGTTATGCTGGATGAGGACACACAGGGCCTTCTTCACCTGGATAAGACCCAAAAGAAAGAGGAAAGATCCGAAGACACAGCTCTTTATTGCTCGCAACTTTTGCCCAACAGTTTACTAAGCATCAGGAGATGGCTGGGTAAGAATCTCTGTGCTGCCTTCCTCCTCCCACTGGAACAGCTAATAAGAGTCACACATAAATGGAAGAAATCAGGAAGATTCCTTGCTAGGACGCTCCTATTTTTTCTCTGATCTTTATTTTTCTAAGTACAATTTACTTCCCTTCTGTTATTCTCATCCCTTAAGGGCAGTACTGAGATTCACAGACTCATTGTGAATAAAGGACGGATGGCAAAGGGAGAGCAAAGATTTGCCTAAGGAAGCAACAGGAGCCAGGAACACTTTGAGAAGCAGACCTCAGGGGCTCTGTCTCATTCTCTTTCCCCACAAAGAACACCGTGCTGATCCCAGAGCAGGCTCTCTCCCTGTCCATTAAGTGGGGGTGGGGAGTAACAATATTCAAAGGTAAGTAGAACTTGATAGAAGATGGCGGCATAGGTAAACACCGGAGACTGCTGCCGCAAACAACCATTTCAAAAATACAACTAAAAGACGGAACAGACATCACCCAGAACCACAGGAAGGCTGGCTGAGGAGAGACTCTTCAACTAGAAGGAAAGACAACGCATACCGAGGCTCAGAGGAGGTGGACAATTTAAAGGTACGGTGGTGCGGCGGTGCGCGCGCAAAGCGGGCTGGTGGCTGAGGGTGCGGTTGTCGTTTTCACTCAGGAGTGAGTCTCAGACTCTGGGCTACAGATCCGGGCGAGTCTCTAGGGACCCTGACTCAAACGGGAGAAGCGGGACTGTCTGGCTACGGCCCCTCCGAGGTTTGCAGCGATTGC